AAATAATCTGATTCAATCTATTGATCTTAAAATAAATTTTCGGTCATTGTCCCTGTAAATTCTTTAAAAGTTGGTTTTCACTTTTGCCGATCATTAAACTGACCAAAAACTCACGAAGATCATTACTAAAATGGATATTAAATCTTGGATCAACCAACTGTTGAAGGGATAATATAAATGAGAAATAGTTTACTGACTTTAGGTTTCTTTTAGATTTACTAACTTCTTCAGCCGAAATAATTATGAGACCACGTTTTTCACCAGGATGTTTAGGCGAAGTCAAATTTCCCATCATCTTTCCCCCTTCACTGCCAACTTAAACCAAAAAAATCCATTAAATTATTGATAATTATAATATATATAATATCAGAATATCTTACCAATTGATCCTAAATCACATTCAAATTGGCCAATAAAGTCTTGTTTTTCCCAATCCGGATCATTTGGTTTATCAACATCCACACATATAAATCTAATATTTTTGAGAGAGAAAGGTTTATTTTTTCTCTTCCGAAATAAAAAAAAATCACAAACACTCCAATTACCTAAATTCTTGTAATTCTTCAAATAAATAATCAACAACAATTCCAGTTACAAACGTTGGGTTTAAGTTGTTCATTACAACTTCAGTTTTAAAAGGTGTTGGCCTCCATTTCTGCGTTTTGGCATCTTTTACTAATAATACAATTTGGGGATCGCTTTTTGAAAGAATATCCAAGTCTTTTAAATTTTTACAACTAATTTTTAATTCAACTTGTGAATGAGCGTATTTTGGTGGTGGTCCTTTCATATTTACAAAAAAATTTTAAAATCAGGGTTTTTTTTTAACGAAATAATTTTAAATAATTAATTTTGTGTAAAATTTTTTATTGAAAATTCATTCCTATTTATACTTTTTTATACGCATAATTAATTTCCCCAATGGATGTGGTTTATTCTTTACAGATATTCTAGAAACGTTTTATTTTCCAAAGAATACTTTTGAATTAAAAAAATTTCCTAATTCATAATAACATGCATATTCTAGAAAAAAAGAAAGATTCTAATAAAAAAAATTTTTTTTTTTGTTAGCCAATACTTTTTGCTTTTTCATCATGAATTAATTGCACCAAAGCTCTCTCCACCTTAGGTTCTACTTTCCATAAACCGCAAAATTTTTTTGCTAGCTTTATTGGATCGTCGTATTCATGAACATTAATATGTTGAACATTATCATTTTCAATTTCAATATGAATAATTAAAATAAGTTTTCCCATTTCTTCCTCATTTTTTTTATCCAAATGAATTCGTTGTGGATGTTGTTCTTCACGTTCTTGTTCCCATCCTGAACTTTCTTCGGGTTTTTTCTTATCGAAAAGATTTCCTTCCTCTTCTTCTCCTTTCACCTGTTTGTTATTCTTTTTTTCTTGGTCCCATTCCGGTGTTGAATTTCCTTGAATTTGCTGTTCTGATGGATTTTCTTCATCGAAACGAGTTTGTTGTTGTTGTTGTTTATCTTCCCCCCATTCATGATAAATGGAAGTTTCCTCTCGATTCTCCTGGTCTTTCCAAAATGGTTTATCTACCAAATGAACTGTTGTTTTAGTAGGTTTACGATATGGTTTAGGAGTCGAAATATTTGAAGTTTTATCTTGATACACCGGACTATTCCAAAATGGTTTGTCGACTAATTTTGGGAATGCTTCTCTGTTTCTCGGCTTCTTAACAGAAGGAAGTGATAGTGGGCGTTTTGATGGTTTTAATTTTAGTGATGGTGGCGGTGGCGGTGGTGATGGTGGTGGTGGTGGTGTATTCTTATTTTTTTTAGGAGTATTTCCCATTTTTAATTTTAATAATGTATCCTCATTTAGCGGATTAAAGTTCCTTCCACGACGATGTAATTGACCAGTACCCACACCATCTCTTCTTATTGTTGAATTCGGGTCAGCAAGGCTATGCCAAGCCAAAGCAGCCTTTTTAACATTTATAGTTGACAGATCGATGGTTTTTTCATCTTTTTTATCATCATTATAATTCTTATTTCTGTAACTTGACCCATTATCATTGCGATTATTATAATTATCCTCTACATCAGGAGTAAATTTTTTTTTTGTGTTTTGTTTTGTATTACCATTTGCTTTTCTCATCATAACTTTATATTAAAAAAGAGAGATTTTTATTTTTTCCCTTATTATTTTATAATTAATAATCGATCTGCAAATACTAATCCCAAAATTTTTTGTGACATAATTTACATCACACAATTGTACTACTAATATAGACATGATTCAATTGTTCAATAGTGATAGTAACAATTTCCATATCGGGCAATTAATCCAATAAATTTGGTGATTGTTTAATTATAGTTGCTGTTGTACTATATACACATCTGAAAACAAATATCTCCTCTACCCGACATTACTGTTGTCCTTTTTTTTTTCAAAAAATAATATTTAACAAAAATGCATACTTTTTTACAAGCGAAATTTTTTGGGATTATTTATCAGCTGGGCTCTTTTCTTGGCCGTTTGATTCATCATAAAACTAACTTACAAGAACAACCTCTATAATATCAATAAAAAAAGTCAATAAAGTAATTGATGCAGGAGAGCCTTAAAAAAAACCATAAACCAAGTAAACCAATCAGTGGCCAAAATATTTGGAAGATATTGAAACACTTGTCTGATAAAAAAATCGAGTTGGACTCTGATTTTTCATTTAGTATTAATGAAATGGTAACCGAAATTCGCAATCTACTTTAAGGAAAAGGAGTTGCTGCTTTCACCATAAAAAACTTCTAGCAACGAAAAATCAATCCTAGGAAAAAACAATAGAAACGATTCAGAAATGGGTTAATAAGGAAAAGAATAAAAATATGGAGGATAATAATAAAGATGACAGTAACAACAATAAAGAATAGGTAATGCTCACAATGGTTTTGGGCATTATTTTCCTCTCATGAAATTGCTCTAGTGGTTTTTTCTTATATAAATTAAAATTATTATGTATCTTTCTATTTATAATGAAAATAAAATATTTTTTGTTGTTTGATCCTTTCATTGTATTTGTTTTGATATTCCTTTTTTACAAAGGATTAATAAATTAATGAAATAAATAAAATAACAACAAAAAAAAAACGAAAGTGTGTCGTCTTAAATGATTGATTCTTGAGATCCGAGGCAAGGGAAAATAGAATTTGTTTTCCACATCCCATTCAAACAGAGATATTACACTTGATGAATATTATCAAGGTGAAATGCTGAAATTTTGCTAAAAATAATACACGATGCGTGGAATGAATTGTTTTCAGTGATTTTACCAATAAATAATTTTTTTATATTTTAAAAATCAGTCACTACCGGTCTTTCCATTATAACTGTTTCGCTCATAATCATCAATCAATGGCAAAGGATTTTGGTCATCGTTTAATTAGAGGCTCTCTACAGTGATTTGACAATCTAAGCGCCTCTCATTCCACCATGTAACGAATTTCCCTGACATGTAATTCGGATTAAAAATCCTGCGAATGCAATAAACAGTGTTGTTTTAAAGATTCTTTTAAGTGTAGGGAGTGTTAACAACAGTCTCAATGAACAAGAATCGGTTGTGATTTACAATACCAATGCTAACAAATGCCCTGATCCTCTTCATCATAATCATCAGGCGAGATATAACCATTACCCTCTAAAGAAATAAATGGAAGTGGCCGAATGACATTTTGAGCAAGCAAAAAGCTCATTTGCACCATCAATTAATACTAATACAGTAACAATACTTTGCTAAGCCTTTCTTTATAATGTAGTGTTGTACATATAGTGTGATCACAAGGTGGCGATCACAACCATACTAGTCATATTCACTATTTAACCCAATCAAATATTTACATCTAGGAAAATGATTTGTCACATTTACAAGTTTAATAATTAAACTTGGAATTGAAAATGTTTTATTGAAATCACCTTTATCGAATGTTCAATTCGGTGTCAGAGAAACACTAACAAGACTAAAAAGTCTTTCATTAACAACTATTCATTCAAATAGTACCATCATTACTACAAATAAACAACAATATGACTTTTTAGATGAACTCATCAATCAACAACAGATACTAATGAAGACATTTCTGGTGAGTTTAGTTGCCCTATTGTGACATGCTAGTGCCTTTAGCGTAAGATTGTTGAAGTTATCATTTCACCGATTTAATAACGCCTTTTCTATTACAGCAGAACAACTTCTTTCAGAAATTTCACCATCACTCATATACCGACAAACTTCCAAGAATAACAGAGCATCTACCAGATCTTTTGAAGCAAAAGTCCTGAAAACAGTTGCTCTTTGGGAAAACTTTTAAAAGTTTCAAAATTTAATATTAGTGGTGATAATAGATACAAAAATCTAGAATTTCGAGAATTGTTGATGTATTATATGAGCTCTTGATCTTAATATTATATAGTAAAAAAAAAAAACAAGATCGAAAAACTCGCTCTTGTGATCAAATTGAGGTAATCCTGGTTACATATTCTTACAAGGAAAGAAGGAAACAATTCTGGTGATTAAAAAACAAGTATTAGAACTGGTACCAGTCAAAATCTTGTTGATAGAGAATACTCTTGCCGCACGTCAATTCTGCACGTGATTTTTAAACTATCGAGTACTACTCCTTTTAGTACAAGTCTGTATTTTACTATTAACAATGTACACTTTTTCGTAAATAGAGCGCGAGAACTGTACAATTTCTAAAGCTTTGAAATTTCATAACTTTTAATAAGTGGTGAATCTGTAGATCTTATTTTTAAAGAAGACGACAAGCAACATATTAATATCTACATACTATCTATGTAAAAAAAAAGCGTCACCGATAATATCCATCATGAAGAATATTATTGTTATTGAATGAGTTTGTCTTGTGTTATATGTACAATGTGATGAAATTATTATGCAGTGAGCATGCACTTTATGAAATGAATGAAATGAAATAATTACGTTCGTTATGTAATTGTGAAATTTTGTGACGACACTAACGCAGTTTTTTTCTTATCTAATCATTCTATGAAACTTGATTGTCCTGTGTTTCATGTATTGATGAATGAAATGAAAACACACTGTTTGTTCCGCACCATTATTTATGACATTATTGATGAGATTAAATAAGTTTAAATGAAATTAAATGAGATAATTAATCACATTAAATAATTTTTTCAACCCGTGCGAAACCTATTTTACCTCGTCCAGGGAAATTTAATTGACATTAATCATGGTGAATTTTCCGTCGGAATTTGTCCCATTTTAATATATCCTATCCCGCCCAAAGGAAATAGGAGTATTTAAAAGTTAAGAAAAAAACGGCGATGACAAAAAAATTCTATATCTCAACAATTACACAACAGAAATTTAATATGGAATTTTTTAATAATAGCACTGACAAAAAATTATACCCATTTGTAGAGAAAGTTCTAGAGATTTTGCATATAAACTTTCATGCATCGACTTTCTAGAATTTTGTCAAATAAAAACAATTAAATGCAAAATTTTTTATTATAATTTAAGATCTTCCGATTCTCTGATATGATTTTTATTTACATTATAAACAATATTTTACAAACTGCCGTTTTTTTTCTAATAAAAAATTTACTGCTCGCATTTGATGATAATTGGTATAATTATCTACTCTTTGCTAATTTGAATTATTAACTGGGTTAATAAAAAATGATATATGTGAGTGTGTGTCCGTCCTTTCTCCTGTCATTCATTATCAAGGAAATTTCTAAAATATAAAAAATGACATCTTTGTTCACCATTTCGATATCATCTTTTTATATCAGAATTTTGGAAAAGCAATGGTATCGATAGTTTTTTTATGTCGAAGGAAAAAAACTTAATAATGACAACGAACCTTGAATTATATCAGGAACTTTTCATGTGCAAGTAGCACACCTAAGTGGTGATCATTCTTTATGCTTGGGATAAGGTATGCTGGCTGAAAAATAATAATTTTCCAAAATCAAACTTTTTGCGTTGCAAACAAAATCCAAAAAAAAAACAATCTGATTTTTACTATTTATACTTTTCATGACCAATTAGTCAATCAATTATTTATTTATTTAAAAAATTCTTGAATAAAAAAATTCTAATCAAAGATGATATTATCAATACTAATACCACTAGTAAAGAGAAAAATAGATATCTTTCCGTATTTATTAATATTTTTATTGTTGTTGAATGCAATAATGTTAAATGTTACAGCACAACACAATAATATTGGAATGGAAAGAAGAGACGGACCGTTTTCGTAAGTAATAAAGTAATTATAATAATTTTGCATGTTAAAATAAAGAGAAAGTTCTGTTTACGGATAATATTAGTAATAATAATAATAATAATAATAATACTAATACTAATGCTAATAATAATAATAATAATAATAATAATAATAAATAATCTATTCCATTCAGTCAGTATACCACACCTGCACCAACATTTGTAGTTGTTGAATCAAGTGATTCAACAACAACGACAGCAGATGAAACGATATCAGCAGCAAATGAAACACCAACAGAAAAAACTCCAGAACCGACAACACCAGAAGTAACAAAAGAAGCTCCAATTGCAACAATAACAATAACAACAACAACCAAAGAAACAACAACAACAACAACAACAACAACCAAATCGAAAACAAAAACAAAAACAACGACAACAACAGCAATGGCAAGAAATAAAAAGGAACCAATTACAACTTCCAAAGCTGCAGCTACAAAAAAAACAACAAAAACCACTTCAAATGCAACAAAAAAAGAAACAACTTCATATAATATTGTTGATGATACCACCTTGGCTGCGACTCCTACTTCTGTTGCTACAAACAATAATGTTCCAACTTCATCAACTTGGAAGCCATTTGCCAAAGATATAATGTAATTAATTATTTGATAATTTAATTGCATATTTATTTATTGAAAATCGTTTATTAAATCATTTTTACGTTGAATTTTTAGGACACAACCAGGCCAATCAACTACAATAAGTAGATTACCCACCAATAATTTATCAATTGGTACTCCTTTAGCTACTACTACGAGTTAAATAATAGATTGGGGAGTGGGGAAAGGGTTATTTTGTAATATATTTTATTTATATTTATTATATTTATTATATTTATTTTTATTATTTTTGTTATATAACTTGGAAATATTTATAACATACCAAATATATTCTATTAATATGTCACGGAAATCTTTTATTTTATATTTTTCACCATAATGTTCCTGGGAAAAAATAGGTACTATTAAATATTCTTGCAATATGGAATGCATCATTTGTAT